GCATCCAACTTCTCAGCCAATCCCGTCCTAGACTAGCATCTTCACCTCCCCCTCATCTGTCTCTAAGGAGGAGAGGGAGATCTGTCTCTCCCCAAGCGGGCACGTTTACCATGTCTCAGGCAGCCTCCTTCTACAGCCCCTTCCTCTCTACTCCCCCGCAGTGATCTGATCAGATCTCTCTGTATCAATATGGATAACAAATATAGCCTCAGAGAGTTTGGAGATGTGTGCAAGGTCACAGAAATTAGAAACTTGAATCCTACCTGTCCTTACTAACTCAACTCAGAGTCTCTTTGACTAGGGAACTTTCTACAGTAGACACTATTCCTGGCTCTCCCCAACTTCGTGCCCACCCCTACTCCTTATCCCCTAGGGACTGTTCCTCCTCCTTCTTTCTAGAGTTCTTATCCCAGAGCATTGCTATTGTTTACTTAGCTTACCCAAAGTAGGCTATGGAATTATTCAGACTAGGGACTGTGACTTTTATCTTCATTTTTGCACAGGGGTTCAGCAAGTGTGAGTGGAATGAAAGGATTATTCTGACTTCAGGTGTAGAACACTTTTCTTTTTTAAACTTTTTTTAAAAGGATTTTATGTATTAATTTTTAGATCGAGGGAGGGGAAAGGAGGGAGAAAGAGGGAGAAAAACATAAATACGTGGTTGCCTCTTTCACACCCAGGGGTACTGGTACCTGGGTACTCGGTACTGTACCAGTAGAGGTACTGGGGACCTGGACTGCAACCCAGGCATGTGCGCTGACGGGGAACTGAACCTGCGGCCCTTTGGTTCACAGGCTGCCACTCAATCCAGAAGGCCACACCAGCCAGGAAGAACAATTTTCTTTACAACCGTGCTACTTCCCCAGGAACAGTATTTCTCAAAAAGTATTCTGTGGAATGCCACAATCATTTGGGGTGCTTGATTTAAAAAGCATATTTCTGATTTCACTTCACTTAGAAACTAAAACTTCTGGGTGTAGGGCCTGAAAATCTTAAACAATCCCTTCCTGTGATTCTAATGAAGGCAAAAGTTCAAAAACCTTTCTTTGAGATGTTTTTATGGAGGGGTGCTATTGAAGCGTGAGAGTAAATAGACATCTAACTGGTGTGTTTTCAAAGTATTTAGTGGAGGATCTTTCTTTCCGTTTTCTTTTTTCTTTTCTTTTTTTTTCTTTTTTACCCTTCTTTCTTTTTTTCTTCTTTCTCTCCTCTTTCTCTTCTTTTCCTTCCTACTCTTCCTTCCTCTCCTCCTCTTCCTCCTCTTTTTCTTCTCTTTTTCCTCTTTCTTCTCCTTCTTCTTTTTATTTATTTATTTTTTTGAGGGCAGTGGTCATTTTTAAACAGATACTTCTGGGCATTTAGCGATATAGCTTTTGTGTCTTTGTTTGGTCAGCCTAGTATTGTTCAGAGTGACCACTAAGGGGCAGCAGAGTACAGAAAAAAAAGAAGACCATAGAGCACAATGGAGACATTATCTTTGAAAAAGTTTCGTAATAAAGAGGTGCTCCAATACCCTTCCTACTTTTACCTTCTATTTTAGGGATTTTATTTTCAAACATTATAATTTAAATTACTGTTAGTTAAATTATTTCTCGATTGTGAATTAACTTCCCTCAAAACCAAGAAAATAACTTAATGGAGAAGAGAAAAGAATAACTTAACATAGAGCTGAGTATAAATCCTAGCTGAGTAATCCAAGGTAACTGAGGAAGTTAATAAAGGGAAAAAAATGAACAAGATGAACAAACAGGGAAACTGACCCAAGAAGGAACACAAATAATGTAGAGAGAATAAGACACCTTTAAACAATTCTTATCAGTACTCACAGAGAAATTCGAGTTGGAATTGCACAAATAGAACAAGAGTGAGCTGGAAAATGGGGACATTGTAACAGTGTTAACAATAAAAAATTAAGTTAAAAATAGAATACATGTTTATTTTGTATTAATAAAGTACAGATTTATTTAAAATCTTTGCTGAATTCATAATAACATTTGTTCACATGCATTCTTCTCAGTCAGTTGAGACTAAAAGTACAACTGTTACACTATGTGGAGCTTTGTGTATTTGTTTAATTTTTAGTATTGAAATGACGTGTTCGGACACAGAAACTTACAGGATAATTGCTGTTGTTTGCCTCAGTGTTTACTGGGAGTAGAGCTACTATGTCCACCAGTGGCAGGGCGGGAAGTCATCCATCAATAACTAATTATAAAGATAGAATAGATCATCATTATTACCTAGGTCCTCTCAGACAGCTACCACCAATAACTGGGCATAGTTATAACAGCATTAATTCATTACTGATATAATTGATGCTTACTTCAATTTCATGAATGCCTCTTGTGTTTACAACCTGCCATGTTTACTTTTCTTCACCTACAGAGCTCTTGGCTTATGATTTTACTCTTCACTTTTGACACATTACAAGCTATTTATTTATTTTTGTTAAATTTATTTGGGTGATATTTATTAATGAAATTACATAGATTTCAGGTATACAATTCTATGACCAATACATTATGCTGGGCATCAAATCCTGCGATCAGAAGCCTGACCTGCCAACCGTCAGTTCCTGCATCCCTCCGCGGTGTCCACCGGTGGGATTCTCGCTCTCACTCCACCCTGGTTCATTGGTGATGCGAGCACTGGGCCATGACACTCATCTTCTAGTGTTTTGGGGCTTCACTAGAAGCTGACGTCTGCTTCCTGCTTTTTAAATTTTAAAAGCTTTTCAGGAACTATTACTAGTAATAGTACTGATACCTTTTATGTGCATCTTGCTTCTGGGGTTTCTTTTTCCTAAATCTTTTTCTTAAGTCTCTAGTCACTCTGTTTCCACTTAGTTTTTTTCTGATTAATACTTGTTTATTTGGAAAACTTTTTGTAAATTAATTTGTGGTCTCTGGTGTACAGATGTGTAGATACAAACTTTTGCTGGTGTGGCTCAGTGGTTTGAGTGCAGGATGACTTCCTGAAAAAGCTTCCAGCTTTTAAATTTTAGTCCTGCCCACAGGTTCATTAGCTGCCCAGTTTTCTCTAATATCTCAGAGACATAGTAGATAAGTCAGGGCATTCAAGTAAAAGAGAGAATAAATCCTCGAAAATCTGTGTGCCTCGTCTGTACATAAAATTGATAATATCTGCTTCACAGGGTTTGTGGGCAGTAAGCGAGATGCTTAGCTTTAGAGTAAATATTGGTTTCCTGCCTTTCCATCCTTTCCTTCTCTCTACCCTGGAACCTCTCATGGTTAACGCAACCTTCTCCCTCTAACAGAAAACAATCAGATGTGAGGGAACTGAAGGATTTTCTGCTTCTCTAAAGGTGACTAATATGCAAATTCCACCCTGTACAGTAGCTGAGTGTTCTTGCTTCCAGGACGGTGCTATGCCCAGTGGATTGGGAATGGGTGTGATGTTATTTCCAGGAAGGTAAGAGGAAATGTGTTTTTAAAGTAATGACTGACTTATACTTTGCAAATTATATTTATTGTTATATCTAAGACAAAGTGTTCCTAGTTCCTTAATGTCTCAGAATTTTAATTTATAAATCATTTGTAATTCAATTATCTCTTGATGATTATGAGCTAAATGGAAATGAAAGAATAATCCCAAAGAAAATTAAGCATTAGAAATATATTAAAATATTTTACGATATTTTTAAATTAGGAATAAGAATTGTGTCAGGGTAAGTTATCTTTTCAGCAAATAAAAAGAAATAGATATAATAAATCCATTTCAGCCAAGTTCAAAATACGACTTTACTTCTTTATTTATTGATTGAGATTGATATATCTATGTCTGTACCCTTATCTATAACCACATGTATCTACACATCTGGTTCTCAGGCCAGCACTCAATCCACTGAGCCACACCAGCAAAAGTTTGTATCCACACATCTGTACACCACAGACCACAAATTAATTTACAAAACGTTTTCCAAATAAACAAGTATTAATCAGAAAAAAACTAAGTGGAAACAGAGTGACTAGAGACTTAAGAAAAAGATTTAGGAAAAAAAAACCCAGAAGCAAGATGCACATAAAAGGTATCAGTACTGTTACTAGTAATAGTTCCTGAAAAGCATTTGGTTCAGTTCTGAGCAAGCATGTGGCCTAAGTGCTTGCTTTTCCGAAGAAAATCATATGCTATTATTAAATTAAAAGATAATAGTTCAAACTTGTGTGATTAAAAAAAAGGAGGGAAGCTAAAATGGTGAGATGGGGTTCATTATCACTTTTATTTTTATTATTTTTGTGTGGAGCTTGTTTCACATATTTTCAAGTTTCTACTATAAGAGGAAAGGAAGAAAACATTCCTTCAAAAATATAATAAATTAATAATACATTAACTCAGTGATCATTGAAGTAGACAAACCTGGCATACATTGTAATTGGGTTCCAAGGAGACAGGGCTCTTAAAGGGAACATTTCAAAAAGTGTTCTAAATACTTGACTGTAACTGTGAAAACTAAGGTGAAATTAGGATTCAAACAATGCTCCCCAAAGTTAGATTACATGCTGCTTGGCTTCAGGGCACCTTAGAAAATGAACCGTACAAACCCCTCATTTTTAGAAGGAGGAAACTCAGTGATGGGGGAGGAAGTCCAAGATTGCTAAGTAGTGTCACCAGGCCCTGCCAGGTGGTCAAACCAGGACGAGAACCCACACATCCTGACCCCTAGGCCCTTCCTCTTCCACCTCTGTATCTTGGCTGTCTCGAGGGCAATGAATGAAGACCCAAATATTTTCACAGATTTTAACTTATCCAATAAACAGTTAGATGACTTCCCTCTCTCCTTCCTACATTCTACTGTAGAAACATTGAATGAAGGGTGTGCTATATCTCCTTCCAAGTTAAGAAGTTGATTTTTCTCCTCCACTTAAACCACACTGCCTGGAAGTGCGCCCATGGACTCACAACACCATACTGCCCACAGCCACAGGACCGCTTAGCCTTCCTGCAAAGCCCTACTGTTTACATGAAGCATGTTAAAGGAATCATTCCTGGTACAAATCAATAGTGGGTGTCCGAGGTGAGAAAATCTCTGGACTCAGGGTGAGTTTCAGAGCCTTCCTGAACCACCTGTAGGAAAAGACATAGATGATAGGGTTGCAGGCCGAGGTGAAGTATGCAAGCCAGATTAAGGTGTCAAAGACCAGAGGCGGTGTCATGAAGTTGAGGAGGCTGTCCACCAGTGTGTCGATGGTGAAAGGAAGCCAGAACAAGCGGTATATGCCCACAGCGATGCCCAGGGTCTTGGTAGCTTTTCTATCATGCTTGGCAGTGCCACCCAGGTTTTTGTTGAAGACATTGATCTGCTGGGCCTGCCTGGCAGCAACCACCAAGATCTTTACATACAAGCTGATCATGATGAGGCAGGAGAAAAAAAACACAGGGAAGTTTAACCAGCCCTGGAACTTATTAAACAGCAACTGGCAACTGCCCACACAAGGCATCTCTTCCAGCCACTGGCTGAGCCCTGTCTTGACTACATCTGTGTAGACAAAGAAGGCCGTGTAAGCTCCTGGCGCCCCCCGCCCTGCTATGATGTACCTGTGAGCCACCCTAACTGTGAACTTGGAGGGATAGAGCAGAGGCTCACAGATGGCACAGTGGCGGTCGATGGAAATGAAACAGAGATGAAAGATGGGGATGAGGCGGAAGAGGGTGTCCAAGCAGGTGTGCAGGCGGCAGAGGAAATCTCCAAAGAACCAGCAGCTCTCTGCTGAGCGAATGGTGCTGAGTGGCAGTACCAGCAGACCCAGAATCATGTCAGCCACGGCCAGAGAAAGCAGCAAGAAGTTGGTGGGAGTGTGAAGTGCTTTGAAGTAGGACACAGCGAACACCACAAACAAATTTCCTAGGACTGTAACAATTATGCCTGCTGCACAGGCCAGGTAGATGGTCAGCTGGAGGCCCAGAGGATGGGCAGTCCTGGGGCAAGACCCATTCACCTGGTAGCAGAACGCCAGTGGGTGGTTTTCAGCACCTTTGTTGAGGACAGCGCTCATTTATGGTTCCTACTCTTCCTTCTCTCTCTTTCTCTTTAAGATCAGGCCACCTGTCCCACCAGAATAAACAAATAGGAGAACAAACAAACAAACAAATTTTTATCTGCTAAACAATTAGAAAGTGAGATCTAGAGAAGAACTACAGGGCAATTTGGAACCTAGTACAATTTCCCTGAGTACTGAATCAAATGCACCCTGAAAATTCAAATGTGGCATAGGATTCAAGGTCTCATAAGAGTTACTTCTGTTAGCCCTGGTTTGTCTGGCTGGAATTTTTGAAACTAGTTAAGATGTTATCCTTAAGAAAAGAGAAGAAACATGGAAGGTAAATGTTTTCTCAAAGAAGAAAATAGCTACTTCACAGTAGGTTTTATACAATTATTGACAGAGTGTCTCTTCCATTTTGATAAGTTACTTGTTGCTAAAAGTAAAATGATATTTAATGTTATGAGTCTGAGCCAAACTAAGAAATAATTCTTGTTAACAAACCATTACTTAGGTAAAGAATAACTTCTGGGTCTTCTCTTTAAGAATTAAATAAATTGACAATAAAATCAACAGATTAAGATTTTTAATTATATTTCAACTCTTCCCAAGAAAAAAATTCAACATACAACTAATTGAAAGAATGAAGTTGCCTTGTTTCAGTTTTGCATCCTTCACAATTTCTAAAGTTAACACACTGTAGTTATACATCTTGAGGGAAATAGCTGATGTGAAAAAGTATTTTATCTATCTTAACACTAGTCTGTAAAAATTTTAAGCAAGTTCTAAAAAATTTCATTTAGAGTTTCCAAGCTACTTACAGAGGCAGGAATAAGAATCGCTTATGGGAATAAGTCCTTTTGGTAACAGATAGACATAGATATGTAGAATCCTCTTTCATCTGCAAAAATGACAGATTTTATACTCCAAATAAAAACTACTTCTCCATGTGGTATGTTATGCAAATGATCGCTGAATTAGTGCCAAGAGACCTAGTTTACACTATTCACAGGTCTCAGTAGTTTGTTTCCTTCTTAATACAGCATCATCATTTATCCTGCCAATTAATTAAAGATGGAAATTAAACACACTGGATTTATAAAGTTTTGTTTAATTTTGCAATGAGTTCCATATAATCCTTCTGCTTTAGGATTATTTGTGTACATTTCTCTCAACAAGAGAAATAATGGAGAATAACTGATCATAAGTCCTTTGGTTTGTGATGGTCACATTGAACTTATCATGATGCCTTTTTTAAACTCTATGTTTCAAATTGGCTAAAGAAGTCACAGCAGACAAAACAGTTCACCTGGACACAGAAGAGTTAGATTTTTGTTCTGCCATCTTCTAGGTCATTCCTTATCCTCTCTCTCTCTCTCTGTCTCCCCATTGGTAAGACTACCTACAATTAGACCCTTATGTCTGTACCTCATGAGGATATTTTCAAGGAAAATAACAAAAATAACATGTTCAATAATATTCTGATCTCTCTGTTGGTGCCAAACCTCCAGAAGATCGAATGCCTCTTAGTGAAATCAGTTCACAATGTAAGTCAAACTAATCTTGCAAAAATGACAGTATTCTAAAGGTGGTGATAGATTACATCTCCCAGCAGGTCCTGTAGGAGAAGGTGGGGCAAGTCAAAACAAATGAAAAAAGTTGGCATGTACCTCCTCCTTCTCCACAAAGCCTGGCTGAACCCAGCGCTGATTGCTCAAAACTTGCCTTGTACCAAGTCCATGTGCATGGAAATAGATTTCTGATTCCAGAATTAATCACATCAGGAAGGATCTTGTGTTACCACATACTATGATTCTATGATACCCCTTAGGTTACAAGTCATAAACCCCATGCAATCAGCCAAGGAGTCCTATGGCTCTAAATCTAATCTGACCAAGAATCTGTGAAATATAGAAACAAATCTCTTACAACTGGAATATGGCCTGGATACAGAAACTTTCAAAAAATGTTTTTGGTTCTGGGATATATTATATCAATGCAATATTCATAGTTCCACTTCAGTGGTTGGAAATGGGTCCTTTACTAAACCTGATGACATATCCCTTTGGCCTAAAATTCAGGCAGTCTTCTCTAAATCCCAAGCCAGGTCAAATTAATTTTCCTCCTCCATACTGCCTTAGCTTCCTGCAGTGTAATCAAGTAGCTATGATCTTTCTCTGAGGCCATGATTTGAGTTTTATTCACCCCCTGAACCATAAACACTCAAAATAGCACTTGGCATATAGTAGATGCTCACTAAATGTTTGTTGAACTGAGTAGCTCCTAATATAGACAGCAAGGCGTTCATAGAATTCACCATCCTCCTGAGATAATGGCCACTAAGTTTAGCCTGGATGAGTGCTAGAAAGAAGAGAACTAGATTAGGAAGAATGATGGGATTGTTCACTTTCCCTTGGACTACTCTGGGAAGAACACGTGGAACTGTTTTGAGAAACAATTGAGCTAATGTTCATGGACACCCTTTGTAAATTATAGAAGTCGATTATTAAGGTAAGGAATGATGATGACTTCAGCAGAAGTCTCCAACTGCTCCTTCATTTCTTCTCAGTTTGCCTCTGCTCCCAGTGAGCAAAATACATGCTGGTCTGTATAAATGACCATCCCATACTACAAAACATCAGTTCTTTGATGTTGTTATGTATTTTATGTTATTTTGAGGATCAAATGAAAAAAACCTGAGTGTGTGATGAATGACTGTCTGCCCTTCCCATTCAGTCCCTTGGGTTTAGCAGTCCAAATGTCTTTGTTGAATTTCCAAAGAGTACTGAAGGCTCATCATGAAAATCAAATTGTGAAATGCTTCTAACCTTATAAGGTAGTAATTTGTTCTACCAGGCCCTGAAAGGAGGTCTGACTTGGCCTGAATCTTAAGAAACTCTTCTTGTTTCATTCATTCTTCAAAATGAGAGCACCTTAGTATTTGAATGTTGCCTTCTGGATTAGCAGCAGGGGAAATCTCCTCCTGAAGGATTAAATTACTGCAATCAGAAAAGAATAAACCAATCCTCTGCTAAGCATTTTAAAGCCCAATTCTGATTTCAAATACTGTCCTGTGGAAAAAAAATAACTTAATGATATCTCAGAACCTAAATATGCTATATTTAAATTGTGAAATTATAATTACTGACCATGAGAAGCTATAGATATTCAACAAAATAGGTAGAGAAACACAGGTAGGTGTTGGGAATTCTTAACTGAATAGAGATGTTCTTGAAGGTGTTTTGGAATTAATAACTAGTTTTGCAATAGGAAGGTTAGATTTTTAAAGAAACAAAAAGGTTTATGAAAGCCTTTAGGATGTGTGTATATGAACATTAGAAACCTTAGGATTAGGTGTCCTGCATACAGGTGTGATGTCATTGGCCAGGCCAGAGAATGGATGGGGTTTGATTAACTTAATATTCTGATATTACTATAAGAATTACTATAATAAAAAACACTTAACTTTAAAAATCTGTAGTACCAGTAACAAATTTTCTCTTTGCAACCTATCAGTGTCTTAGGGTTATTGTTAATAAAAGCAACCTTACAGGCAAACATTAATGAATGAATTGCTCCGTCCACAAATAATCACTATGAGTTTGCATATTGCATTTAAAATCTTCTCCAACCTGTCAATACATAGGCTAGTGAACAATATTTCTATATGACCAAACTTTTCTCTGAGACACTTGGATTATTGATACATTAGGCAAAGGAAAGAAAGACCTAACTTCTATCCTCTGGAAGTTCGCTATATGAACTGAAAGCTTCTTTCTGTATGTTGCAAACATTTCTGAATTGGTGAGTCTTTTTCCACTATGTGCCTCTGCTGGCCCTGGGCTCAAGTCCCTCAGTACAACATTATGCACATATGGCTAAAGCCTAGTAGAACAGGAATTAAATTCAGTTCAGTTTCTTCTTTACAAATAGGCTATTTCCTCCATCTTGTCCTCTAAAGAAAGCAGCACCAACTGTCTAGCATCCTTTGTTTTACACTTGTTTATTTCTGTGAATTTGAATAACTCTCATTATCCTCCAAGTTTCTGCATTTTAGTCATCTAGTGGATGTGTTCAGAGATGTTTATGGGAAAGGCACCATGTCAAGCACTGTGGGATACAAATATAAACAATATAAGGTCATAGTCTTGCACACAAGAAGCCTACAGGCTAGATAGGGAACTAACACACTGGCACACACCCAACCCCGGCACAAAACAGGTGTCAGGAGACAGGTTTGGAGTGCTACTGTGGGCATAGAAGGAAAATGCTGAGTATGTTTAGTTTGAGATCTTGAGGGAGCATATAAAAAGATACTGATTATGAAAAAAAACAAGAAACTCAAGTTTTGGAGAAGTGGTTTTGGAGAAGATAAATACATTTGAGAGAAATATATAGACAGGAGGTCATTGAAGCTATGAGATTAGATGAGATTAGAACAGGGTGTCTCAACCATGGCACTATTGAAGTTGTGGACCAGATAGTTCTTTGTTGTGAGGGACAGTTCTGTGTGTTGTAGGGTGTTTAACAGCATCTCTCACCTCTACCCGCTAGATGTTACTACCACCCCCTCTCTGGTTGTGACAACAATCAATGTCTCCAGACATTGCCAAATGTCTCCAAGGACAAAACTATCCCTGATTAGAGAGACAGAGAGATAGTGTGAAGAATGAAAAGAAGGTTATAACAAACAAAATATAGTGAAATAAGTTTATGGAATAGGAGAAGGAAGAGAAAGACAAGAAGACACAGATTGGAGACATTCATTGTGGCAATAAATATTATCCTAAAATTCTGGGGCAGGGGAAAAAACTTCAGTTTGTGAATGAAGCTCAGCGTTGGTGAATAATTAGTATATGCACACACACACCCAAAGAGATGGACACCACCTGTATGTATGCATGCAGGCCACATGTGTATATACCTAAAAATTACATATTTAGACAAAGAATATACTTCTAAACTCTTTATCCATTCTTCTCATTTAATAAGACAGTTCAATTTTATCAAAATAT